TAAATAAAATTAGCAGTTGACTCTCCACCCACCGAAGCAAAAAACGAAATGAATCTTCACCGGAGCCGAAAACGACATGACTCCACCGGCGCCGAAAACGACATAACTCCACTGAAGCCAAACACGAGATGTCCACCCACCGGAGCAAAAAACGATATGACTGCACCGGAGCCGCCGAAAACGACATGACTTCTTCGGAGCCGAAAACAAGATGATTCCACCGAAGCCGAAAACCACATGACTCCACTGGAGCCGAAAACTACATAACTCCACCGGAGGGGAAAACGAAATGGCTGAAAATGAGATGACTCCACTGGAGCCTAAAACGACATGACTCTACCGGAGCCGAAAACGATATTACTCCACAGGAGCCGAAAATGAGATGACTCCACCGGAGCCGAAAGCAACATGACTCTCTACTGGAGAGAAAAACGACGGGAAATTAGCAGTTGACTCTCCACCCACCGAAGCAAAAAACAAGATGACTCTCCACCGGAGCCAAAAGCGACATGACTCTCTACTGGAGCCGAAAACGACGGGAGTACTCTCCACGAGGTCGGAAATAACGGAACTCTTATTGCACTCAGAAACATGGCTCTGGAGAAACGAAATAGACGGATCGCAGAATCGCAGACAGATGCGCAAACATGACTTCAATCGTAGACAAAATCAGGACTTAAGATAAAATCAAAATTAGAAAAAGAAAGGGCTATAAACTATAGAAAAAATTTCAAAATTGGGAGACCTCCGGGTACATCACATGTTGAATGTACCCGGAGAAACGCGAGTTGGTAGGTTATATCTACGGCATGAGAAAAATAGGCTCTGATACCATGTTAGAAAGTTTAGTAGAAAATAATGAGATTGTCTTATTGATCATCAAAATAAGGAGCCTATATATAGGCAATACTAAATAGACTCGATAGACTCAAATCTAAGTAATCTAATCTATGAATAAGATCAAATTTAGATATAAATCTACTAAATCTAAAACTGAATATCTAAAATATCTCAACAACAAACATCGTTAAATAAGAACGACCGAGGGAGTTACACACAAAGTTTATGAAACCACGAGTGGTCTAACGCAATTTTGGAAGTATTATGAATTTGACGCAATTTTATGAAATTACATGCGAATTTTGTGCAGTTCCTCTATAAAAAAATGATACTACCTCCGTCCGGCTCTAAGGATCCGATTTACTTTTTGTATGTTGATCTTTTAATATTAATTATTATATAAAACATAGTACAAATTAAGAAAAAATTGCAAAACCACTTCTATTAGTGTCTTATAATATTAATAGAATGATATTTTTACAAAAAATTATATAAATATAAAAATATTTTTAATATTATGTACAATATCGCAAAAGTTGTTTCAATTTGATTCGGTCTATTTTTTTTTATAATTAAAATAATATTTTATTTAATATTTTATGGGAGTATTTATTTATTTATTTTTTTCTTGATAACATAAAGTTCATATAGCAATTCATATATTTTATTGCAAAGGAAGATTGGTTTGTTTTACCCAAAATGCACTCGTAAAATAGCGGCCATAAGTTTTCATGTTATAAAAGGAAAAAAAAAAAAAAGAAGAATTTGTTTGGTTTTGATTCAAAATTAAAAATTTTTATTTGAAATTTAGTTTAAATAGTAATATTTTGATATAATGTTTATATATAATGATATATTTTTATTAAAAAATTGTATAAACTAAATAGTGATAATTTTAATTTTGAAAAAAAAAAAAACACATCATATATATTTAAGGTGTGTTTGTTTGGAGAATTGGATTTTAAATATACTATTCATCTTTTTTTTTTTCCCCAAAAAATATTAAATCAAACACTTATTTTTTATTTTTTATATTATACTAAAAATCAATTTTACATTCAATACATCACATCAATACTTATTTATATCACATCATATAACTATTCAAATTCAAATTTTTTACTATTCAAATCCCAACTCAAAATCCAAACTCCCAAATAAACACACCCATTTATCCATTTCACATCTTTCCATTTCTTTCATGTCGGTTACGCAGTACCGTACTGATTTTTTCACGCAATACTATTCAAGAATTCAGATATTATCGATTAAAAGTCTAAAAATCAGCAATCAATGGTTCATATAGCACACATTTTAAATATACCTTAAATCACAGTATCATGTGTTCTGTAATAATATACTACGTGTTTTATTAAAGTACGTCATGTGCTCTTAGTTCTTGTACTGCATTTGTAAAATATTAATATAAATGATATTTTACATAGATTCTTGATTGGTGTTGTTTTGAAAAATTTACCGTGGTGATATAAAATCAGTACCGTAATCACCACAAATTTCTTCTTGAGATTTTCCACATCAGTCAAAATTATGTTCACTTTTTTTTTACTATTTTCATAGGCCAGAATTGTGTATAATACAAAGCAAAAAAAAATTATAATGTTGGTACACAGAGAGTATTATTGAAAATTTTGAATGTTTTATTTTATGGTTTTTAGTATTTAGAAATTTTTAAAAAATTTATTGTTGGTTATTAAGAATGCAAAATATTACTTAAATAGTTATTTTTATTATCATTAAATATTTATAAAAGTAATATATTTTTATTAAAATATGAACATTGAAATTGTAATAACTTACAAATTAATATATTCTTAAAAATTTTGTAACTTTTATTTATTTAGAAATTACTTTTCTTTTTTTTTTTTTTTATCCTCCAATACCACAATTTATAGTTTCACAAATAACAGACAAACGAAACCATTAAAAATATCAAATTTATACCATTTAAAATGGAAGGGTTATGGTCGGTTAGCACATATAAACTCATATTTTTATTTATTACAACACTAACTGTGTTAAATAAAACTATATATATATACACTTTATTGATATATATAAATATATATATATTGTCCTGAAATCAATTGTAGTGTATTGTATTTATAATATAGTAGCATGATTCATACTATATTTTTTGTTTTATATTATATGTTTTTTATTATTATTATTATGAAAAAAATCAATTTTGGTTTCAATATAATTAAAATTTATAAATTTTGGTCCCAATATAAAAAACTCATCAATTTTAGTCCTAATATAAAAAACTCATCAATTTTAGTCCAAATATAAACAATTTCAATTAATTTTGATCCCATTCTAAACAATTTCAATCAATTTTGGTATCACCGTTAAAAAACTAACGAAAATTGATGACGTTGACATAACGGAGGTGACGTGGCAATTGACCTGGAAAGTACACTGTACAATTATACACGGCCATGTTGTTACATGGCCATGTATATTTCAGTGTATAATTGTACATGGCCGTGTTGTTACACAACCATTTACAATTATACGCGATCATGTTGTTACATGACTATGTATATTTCAGTGTATAATTATACATGACTATATTGTTACACGATCATGCATAATTCTACACAGTCGTGTATCTTTTTGTTTCGGTCTAAAATTTTATTTTTTTGTTATATATATATATTTTTTTAATTTAGAATAGTTGATACAGTTAAAATAAAAAAAATCAATAATAATCATAATATAATTAAAATGTATCAATTTTAGTTCAAATATAAATATTTATCGAGTATGTACTTTTGGAAGATTTTGTTTAAAATTCTATTATTTAGCAAAAAAAAAAAAAATCTCTTACAAACATCCAATTATTGTATTGAAATAATAAATTAATTTTTAATACTACTGTAATATACACAATTAAAAAATAGTTGTGTAATTTGATGTTTATAAGAGATTTTTTTTTTTTATGAATAATAAAATTTTTAGACAAAACATTTCAAAAGAATATATCTTATAAATTTTTATATTTGAATTAAAATTGATAAATTTTAATTATATTATAATTACTATTGATTTTATCAATTTTAACTATATCAACTGTTTTAAATTCAAAATATTTTTTTATAAAAAAAATATAACAAAAAATAAAATAAAATCGTAAACTAAAATAGAAATGTACATTGCCGTATATAATTGTACATGACCGTGTAACAACATGGTCATGTATAATTATACACTCAAACATACATGGCTATTTAACAACATGGCCGTGTATAATTGTACATGACCGTGTACTTTTCAGGTCAATTGCCACGTCACCTCCGTGATGTCCACGTCAGCAATTTCAGTTAATTTTTTAACGATGAGACCAAAATTGATTGAAATTGTTTATATTGTAACTAAAATTGATGAGTTTTTTATATTAGAACCAAAATTAATACATTTTGATTATATTGGGATCAAAATTGATTTTTTCACTTATTATTATTATTATTATTATTATTATTATTATTATGCTATGTAAGACCATTTCATGTATTGTAGGAATGTATTTGTATTACATAAAAATAACATATAATGTTTGTATTTATATGATGTACGGATTATTTTTTACATATGTTCATATTGTATTATTTGACTTTTTATTATTATTATATATTATTTGTATTTATAGTTTTACAGTGAATCTTATATCTTAATAGCCGCTATTTAAAAATTAAAACAGCGAATGAATAGTAAAAAATACTTTAGTTACAAAAATACTTGGCTAATATGAAATAGAAGCCCTGAAATTTTGCTTCGGCGTGTAAAAGTTCAACAGATCAGACAAATCGTGACCGTACATCGTTCTTTCCCCTAAAAATCGACGGCTCCGATTTATTTATTGAAGCATGCAATATCCGCGATCCAACGGCTCAGACGAAATCAAATATATATATATAATTTATTTATTTATTATTTTCATTGTGGCTATATATATATACGTGCAGCGCCCCCGCCATTGTTGCACCACACTAAGCTTGACCATAGCAGCATCTCTCTCCGATAACACTTTCACTGCAGTGGTTTTTCGTGTTTCATTTCCTTCTCAATCCGTCTCGTGCCTTCAGAGGGCGCGGTTCGCACTTCGCAGTGTCGGAGAGGTTTTCTTCATGGAGACAGGCGCCGCGGGGCAGGTCCGTTCCGAAGAGCATGTGGCGATTGAGATTCCGGTGACTGCGCATCAGATCAGCAACGGTTCGAACGACATTTTCCTTTTTTTTTTTTTGGTTAAGATAAATGTTTGTGTTCTCAATTTTCAGTTAGTATTTGTGGTATGAGGTGTTTGATTAATTCCGATTAGAAGTTTTTGGAGTGGATTGGGCGATTGGATTGAGTAACATGTTTATGCACATTGCAGTTAAATTGTTCGGTTTGTGCTTTAGGTTTCTACCTAACAGCTTTATCGAGTGATGTCACAATTTCATTCGATTCATGGTGAAATTAATCTTTTCACGTAACACTCCGTGACTAAATTCTAATTTATACGTTTTGGATTCTCAAAAGTGTTCTTCCTTCCTTGTTTATCAATGTCTACTGTAAATTCAAATACAGATTCGTGGTTTCAAGCTGGATTTGTTCTCACCACTGGGATAAACAGTGCGTATGTGTTGGGCTATTCTGGTGCTGTTATGGTTCCGTTGGGATGGTTGGGAGGAATTGCTGCACTACTTCTAGCAACACTAGCATCCTTCCATGCCAATGAACTGTTAGCGAAGCTTCACGAACATGGAGGACGGAGGAATATCAGATACCGAGACCTTGCAGCAGTTGTGTATGGTAAGATTGAATAAGAAAACATCGAAATTACTTCTTGTTCCTCAACATATATAAAAATCCTGATTTATTCAGTGAGAATTTGTTGGTATAGGTGAAAGAGCATATTGTATTACATGGGCAATGCAATATGTGAATCTCTTTATGATTAATGTAGGATACATTATTATAGCAGGACATTCTCTTAAGGTACATTTTTTTGTTCTTTTTAATCTCACTTTCTCTTGGTTGATTCTGATTTCCATGATCCAGTGGACTAAGGTATGCGATCTTCAACAACTCCGAAAACAGATCATACTCGAAGCAATTCAATCTGGAATCAATATCATTCTCACTTACCTAATTCCTTTTCATTTGATTGATTGTATGCTTTGCAGGCTGTGTACATTCTTTTCAGAGATGACCATATAATGAAGCTTCCACACTTCATTGCAATCGCGGCGCTTTCTTGTGGCCTCTTCGCCATCTCTATACCACATTTGTCGGCACTCCGTGTTTGGCTTGGATTTTCTACATTCTTTAGTATGGTGTATATAATTGTAGGATGTGCTCTGTCACTTAAAGATGGTTAGTTTTGATCATCATCTGCAAATTTCTACTCATCTTCAGTGTTACTTCTTTTTTTTTTTTTTTTTTTTTTTTCTGATCAAATCCTACCATTTTTACAGGTATGGAAACTCCCCCAAGAAATTACAAGGTCCCTGAAACAAATGTAAGCCGAGTTTTCACAACTATCGGCGCCATTGCCAATGCTGTCTTCTCCTTCAACACCGGCATGCTTCCAGAAATACAGGTTCTTGATCTGATTAATCTTATGCCCGAATGATTGAATCTTTGACATTCATTTCTTCATTCACAGGCAACAGTGAGACAACCTGCGATCAAAAACATGATGAAAGGTCTGTATTTCCAGTTCACGGTGGGAGTAGTGCCGATGTACGCCCTCATCTTCGCCGGATATTGGGCATACGGCGCCACCACATCCGAATACATGCTCCACAACGTCCACGGCCCAATCTGGATTCAAGCAGCAGCCAACATCTCGTCTTTCTTGCAGACGGTCATCGCCTTGCATGTAATAATCTTACCATACCAATACTAAATCAGTAACTAACTCTGTTATTTCCATCGTCATCATCATCATTGCCATTGTCATAATAATAATGTTGGTTCAGATATTTGCGAGCCCGATGTACGAGTTCTTGGACACGAAGTACAACATCAAAGGCAGCAGCTTGAAAGCGCGCAACCTTTCGTTCCGAACAGGGGTGAGGGGGGCCTACGTGGGGCTGGTGTCGCTGGTGGCGGCGATGCTGCCGTTCTTGGGGGACTTCATGACGCTGACGGGGGCGCTGAGCACGTACCCGCTGACGTTCATTCTGGCGCACCACATGTACTTGGTGGCGAAGAGGAACAAGCTGAGCTTGGCGCAGAAGGGGTGGCATTGGCTCAACATCGCCTTCTTCTGCAGCCTCGCAGTTGCAGCTGCCGTCTCTGCCGTCAGACTCATCGTCGCCGATTCGGAGACTTACCATCTCTTTGCGGATATATGAATCAAGGTTATGTTCTTCTTCTTCATTATTATTATTATTATTATTATGATATGGATTCATATTTATTGATGATTCGGAGTTGGAGTTGGAGTTGGAAGGGGAGTTTTAGTGTTGATCCCTTGAGAGTGAGTCCTCTGTCCTTGCTTGTAGCTGTGTCTGCGTTTTAATATTTAGACACTGGAATGGAATGGAATGGAATCGAATCCAATGTTAGTTATGAATTTTACATTTCTCTCTCTCTCTCTCTCTCTATATATATAGAGACTCCCTCCGTCCTATTGACATTATTTTTATTATTTTTATTTTTGTCTGTCCGTAATCATTGACATCTTTCTATTTTTGATAAAAATTATTAAATCACAACATATTTAACAAATATAAATCAATTTAATTAATTACATAACATAGACTCGCTCAAAACTCTTTTATTTCTACATCTCTCAAAAAAAAAAAAATATTTTTATCTATATTTAAAACTACACATCTTTTATAAAATTGATTTATGTTAATTATAAATAAACAAAAATATTTTTTTTATTTACTTGTATTATAGAAAATTTTATTCTCTACGAAAAGATATCCATATTACATATTTTTTTAATTGCTGTATAATTTTTAAATATTTAAACATATATTTTAATTTTTTTAATCATATATATTAAATTTATTTTAAAAATATAAATATTATTAATTATAAAAAATAATATAATAATATCATAACTAATTATTATTAATTAATTAAACATCGTTACCTTAAATACCATGTGCCTAATCAAATAGTTCAATTCCAGTGGGACAAAGAGAGTACATGTTTGTAACGTATGGATGTTTTGCTGTTTAATTTATGAACATATATATAGGTGTGTTTCTTTAATTAAATTTTCTCAAATTTTATTATTTGAATTATGAGTTTTCCGGAAAAAAAAATTATTTTTCCCTCACAAAAAAATCTCATCAAATATTATTTTAATATCAAACCCAAACCAATTTTTTCCAAACTCAATCAAAAGAAACACACCATCATATATATATATATTTTTTTTTACGGTAGGTTTTTACTATTCAAATTCTTTTTTTCTTTAAAAATATCATATCAAACAATTATTTTTCTTTTTTTATACTATACTACAAATTTATTTTACATTCAAAACATTACATCAACCTCTACTTATATCACATTAAACAACTATTCAAATTTAACTTTTTTACTATTAAAAAATTCAAACCCCAAAACTAAAACTCACGAACAAACACACCCCTCACGTTTCTACTATTTGGATTTTATAGTTTTTTCGAAAAAAATACTCATATATTATTTTAATATTAAATTCAAACTAAATTTTCCCAAAAACCCATCCAAAGAAACATATCCATAATCTTGGAGGATAATGTTGGAAGAAAAAAATAAAAAAGATTTTATTTGAATAACATTCAAACCTAATAGTAATACGAAACAGTTTCTTTTCATTTGCATGTTATTATATTCGATCAAAAATATATTTAAAATGCATAAAAGAATAGCGATAACGGATTCTGCAATCATTAAAAAAAATGATTAGGGCCAATACCTATGGTCATTTTAAGAATGGATTTAGACCTCACAAGATTTATAATTATGACGTTATAAGTTCAAAATTCTAGAATAATATAAGTTCAAGATTTGTGATTATGACGTATACGTAGTTGGAGATTTATTCAGTATGCACTTTGAAGCTCGAAATAATAGATACAATTTATATGACACGGTGAAAAATGTGTTGGCCAAACAAATTAAGGAAATGCAAATTAAGTTGACAAATGTGTTGAAACATCATTCTTTGTTATTGTAAGGGTAACTCCGGGTTGTGCAAAAATTGGGGGGAGGGGCTCCAACCCACCCCCAAATTCCCTTCATTTTTGCAGTCCGCACTGTACACTTTTTGAAGTGGAGTTTGTGTGATATTTTGTGGTATTTGTGTATTTTTGTTATTTTTTTGGAATATATTGTGTAATTATATTTTTTTGAAAAATTATGTATAATTTTATTTTTTGAAAAGTGATATAATTTTATTTTTTAAAAATAATGTATAATTTTATTTTTTTTAAAAGTGATATATAATTTTACTTTTCGAAAAGTGATATATAATTATATAGTTTTTTAAAAATAATGTGTAATTATATATATTTGGGTTATATTATAAAAATAAATTAACGTTGGTGTGCAATTTATAAATATAAAAAATTCTGTAAAATAATATAAAAGAGGAATATATATGGAATATACTTTTTAAAGTGAAAATTTGAAGTTTATAGTTGGAGTAAAATTATTATAGATCAACTGTATTTGTATTGTAGCTGCTGCAAAAATGAAAGAATGAGTTGGAGACGGGTTTATCGATCAAGGAAAAGGCACATATGAATATTAGCAGCATTTTAGTGACACTTTGAGATTAATTGTTCATAAGCATTGAAGAACTCATTCTAATTTCTTATTGCACGAAGAGCTAACAACTTAAACAGTTCTCGGAGTCGTTTGGACTACTTCTATTTCCACGGTCAATATATGGGACAATATTCAACATTTTTTTAGTTATACTAAAATTATTAATATAATTTTTAATTTTTTTTAAAAAAAATTAAATGCAAATAATTTAATATTTGATTGTAACTTTTATTTTTAATTTATATATTATTTTTAAATTAAAAATTTAAAATATAAATAACTATTTTTTTAAATATATTTTTTTACTATAATTTAAAATATTTAAATATAATTAATAAAATTTTAAAATAAATTATAAAAATTTTATAGAAAAATACTGTTATATTAACATCGTGTTCTTTTAAGTAATTTTAACAGCATTTTTAATTCTATTACATCCCAAGAAATTTTTTTATAAAAGCTGTTTTTATACATATTCATCCAAACACAAAATCGAACATGACTTATGCTTATTATTATTATTTTTTAAGTCAATCTAAACGAGCCCTAATAACCTTATAAATTAGTATAATTGTAACGGACCTTTAATTATATAAGACTCTAATGCATTAAAGTAAATACTCCTTCCGTCCCATGTAATATGAGTGTATTACTGTAGACACGAGAATTTAAGTAAAGTATAATTAGTAAGTAATTAAGAAGTGTATTAGTAAAAATAATTATATATTAAGATTAAGATAAATAAATAGTTTAATTAAAATTAAGAAAATTATAAAATTTAAAATTTAAAATGCGATTAAAGTGCATAACTATATTTCCAAAAATAGAAAAGACAAGTTATGTGGGACAGACGAAAATAGAAAATAGGAATAAATTATGTGGGACGGAGGGAGTATGAAATTAAGTCAGACAAAATAGTATTATCCACCATAATCTCGTAAAATAAACGCACCCTAAATATATAACGAGTCCCTATTTATATCGGGCCCCGAGCAGACGTCCTTATTGCACAGGTCCAGAGCCGGCCCTGTCCAAATATTTATATCAAAAGCAATTTCTTATGCAATTTTCATACTAGTAACAAATCTTTTATTTTTATACTTTAAAAAAAAAAAAAAAAACAAATCATCTTCTATTTGTTTAATAGCTATATTAATGCATAAAAATTCATATTGTAATTTTTTAATTACACTATTAATTATAAATAAAATATGATACCGGTAAAACAATTTATACTATTCGATTAGACTGATCAAATTATTGGCTTCACCTTTTGATTTAGCATCATCATAAAAAATTTTGTAATCCCAATAAAATTAATTTAATTTGAGGAATTTGAAATCTAATATATTTAAATTTGAAAGATTATCAAAGTAAAAAAATTTAATCTATTTTATAAAATTTTAAAATAATGTATATATATATATATATGTTGTATAATGTCAAAAAAAAAAGTGATATTAAGACTATCACAAGTACAATACATATATAATGTCTAAGACTAATATCAAATAATATTTTTTAATTATTTAATATTTACATTTCATATTAAAACTATTGCCACAACTGAGGACCAAATCATACTGCGGATAGAGAGCACCTGATCCCAATCCTTTAAATATGATTTTTTTTTTTGAAATAAAAAAATAAAAAAATTTATATTCCCTTCAAGTTTTGTATTTTATTATTATTTTTTGTAAAAACTAATAAAAAGTTTATAATTATGTTAAGTTTTTTTACTCCAAACATATTATTTTTATCCGACTTTTTATTTATTTAATTTTTTTTTACCTTTGCACCAAAAAGAAAAAAATAACGTAGAATTGATAAAAATAAACTTATACTCTTTATTTATTTATTTATTTTTTCTTCTCCTTGTACACTTGTATTATTTACTTTTAATTTTTTTTTTAAAAAAATACTCTTTTATTTTTATTTTGTTAGTTGATATATTTATATAGCACAATCAAACTCTTTTGTTCTTAATGATTAACATCTAAAAAAAGAAATATAGAAAAATATTTTAAGTTTTTAATAGTTTTAACAATTGAATTTTTAATACTATTAGCCAATAAATATGTCAATTTATTTTAAATTTTTATGTTCAAAATAATAATAATGAATTTTATGATTTTGGTAACATTTATTATGATCTTATGTTATTAAATCAAATTTTACGATCATTTCAATAATTATTATTTTAATATATTTAAATTGTTAATTTCTTTTTTTAAAACACTATATGTCAGTAAAAATTAGTTTGTTTCTTTTGCAAAAATTCTTTAAACATACTTTTTAAAAAAAATTAATATATTTTATATTTATTATTTTATATTACCTATCCAATTCTAACAGACAGCATACTCAACTTCAATTGAGTGGAACACGGCCGTATTTATTTATCAAACACGGTCGTGTTTATTTGGTAAGGATGTTCCTACAAATACTCATCCTTATTTTGTGCAAGTTAGATTTCCTTACACCCACGTCACCGTTTCCATTTTCTGTTTCATTTTTGAGAACAGAGCCAAAATGATAGAAAATTATTTATAATAGAATAAAATTGATAAGTTGTTTTTCTTTTTTTTTTTTAAATATTAAAATCAAAATTGATTATTTTGTATTTTAATAGAATTATTTATGATTTTTCTTCTTAAAATTAATTTATACTACTATCTTCGTCCCATAAATATAATTTTAATTGAATTGAATATAACATTTAAAAAATATTTATATTATATTAGTAATTAATAAAAAAAAATATGGATAATTTTTTTTTTTTATTATTATAAATATATTAATGTAAAAAATAATGATAATTATATAATAAAAAATATAATTATTTATGAAAGTAATGAAAAAAATATAATTATTTATGAAAATAAGATTATTGTAATAATGGATATACATGAATACATAAACCTGCCCACAACCCAATTCACGCCGCCGCCGTCCTCCCCCCTTCCCCTCCCCCACTTCTTCCTCCTCCTTCTTTTTCTAAGTTGCGCCGCCGCCGCCCGGTGAGTTCTTATTTATTTATTTATTTTCTTTTCCTCTTTTTCGATTGTTCCTCTACTCATGCTTCCATTTAAAATCGAGTATGTTGTAACATTTTTCTCATCTCCTTTTTTTTTTTTTTTTAATTCTATTTTTTTTTCCCGTTCGCAGCTTCTTCTACCGGTGGTCGCCGGTCCCCGCCGCTGCCGTTTCAGACCTCTTTGGCCAATTTTTTCCGGCGGCGGAAAACATAAATAACTAAATGAAATGAAAATTGATTTATGCCAGTGCAGTACGAGCCAGCAGTAGGGACGGCCTAATTTGTTTCTGGCATCTTTCCACGTTGTCTGTGGCTTTGCCGCCGTCGGCCTAGTTAGTTTTCTTCACCGTCGTGTTTGGATTCACAGCGCAGTTGTCTCCGTCTACGTCTTTATCTTCCTCTTATCTGTTTCTGCTTAGTCCGTCTTCATCTTGCTCGGCTAAACCACCACGTGAAGAATGCTTTCAGGTCTGCCTTGGTTAATTCCCGTTATTATCTGCAATCAAAATGTGTATGTGCAGATAATTGTCTTCCATGCCCATCATCGTATGAATAAGTGTTTGCAGCATAGGTGTTTGTCAAAATGTCTCAAAAAAGAAGAAGTATATTTTATGAGATTATATTTGTTGCGTCCAGAGGGATATGAATGGTGCTAGGCTACTGCGCTTTAAATGTTGTTGGTGTTTTATGTTTTTGATTCCATGTATGTAAATGTCGAATGTGTTGTTGCAGGTGTGAATGTGGGGAACCTGCATCAATCTCATTTCTTTTCTACCCACAAATGGCAAGGTATGTCATCGTAAATAGTGCTAACCGGTTCAATCTTTATTCTTAACAATCATTGTGCAGTCTTTTCGATGGTATTTTTGAGTTGCATCTTCTTGGATGTATTAATGATGTATGTGTTTGTGCTTTTTGTTGGTATGTACATTAAAATTGTGTTTTTATTGTTAGTTTTTTAAGAGTTATAGGATGATTGCTTGTGTGACTAGATATGCAATTGAAGGTTAATTTTATGGCTTCCGGTGAAAATAAATCTTGAGTTTGAAAACACTGATGAGGGTCTGTTTGGTGTAGTAATTGCAGTAATGTTTGATGGTGTTGTGGAAACTTTTTTGGATGTAAAACTACTTCCAAACAGTCTGTTGTGTTTTAACTCAATCATGTGCTTGTGTGAATGAGAGAGATTATACAAAAAGTTTGGTATTGACCAAGGTATCAAACTTTGGCTTCGGAGTTGATTTCAGATGTGGATATACAGAAATTTCGATGGATATTTGAAATTTGTATTTCTATTTTAAAGAACACATAGAAGATACTATTAAAAATATTTGGAAATTTTAGATATTTCTTTCTAACATTAGTTTAGATATTTTGAAGTAAAAGTAATTGATATGTAATATTAAAAAAGATATAAATTACTGTTAAATTAAGAGGAATGTCTGTTGACTGACACATATAAATTGTAGCAAATATTCAATGATAATATAACTCCATTAATAATATTACATTAAAATTCATATACATTTTTTGTTAAATATAATATTTAAAACTACAAAGTTTTTGGGAGGATCAACATAAATAAAAAAGTAAATTTAAATAGAATATTAAAAAAGAAAATATGGGAAACTAGGGATTTCTGCTGAAATTTAATACCCTCGTATTGAAAAATACAGAGACATGTGCAATCCTTTTATCATTATGAATCTCTATCTCTGGCCAAGAGTGTATGCTTTAGGTACCAAATGACATTGCATATTTAGGACTTATTTGTACATTATTTTCTTGGTTTTCTTTTATTTGTACCAAATGCTCATTGGAATGGGATGATCTACAGTAGTAATTGTTTTGACGTTGGAACAGAGAAAGGACTGGAATTGACATCTTAAGTAAAAGCTTGACAAAACTTCTTGTATAATAAACTCCCAAAGTGTGGTGAGTTTGAGTAGGTTCTTAATCGACCCTGTTGCATCGATGTTATGTTACAAAAGCTCGAGAGTTATCTGTCACTTTTTGGTATTAAACTTAAAAATTAGTTTGTTTGGTTGGTGCATACAGCCATTGTTGTTTTAGACGTTTGGTACTTCTATGCATTGTATTAGAGGCTGTGAACATCTATCTTCTAGATGTGCTTTTCTTCAGTGCGCTCAGTTGTGATATCTATTGCAGATCTAAATCGGAAAGGAATGCATTTATCTAGAAAACAGACCTTACCCACAACAATTATGGCTTGTGCATTGAACCAATCAACAAAAGTTTCTTTCACACACAAGGGTGAAGAGAATAGACCTCTGGTTAAAATGTGCGGTATCACATCAGCTAGAGATGCAGCCATGGCAGCAGAAGCTGGTGCAAATTTTATTGGGATGATTCTTTGGCCTAACTCGAAACGATCTATTTCCCTCTCTGTTGCCAAAGAGATTTCGAAAGTGGCGCGGGAACATGGAGCCGAGCCTGTTGGTGTGTTTGTAGATGATGATGCAGACACTATCTTAAGAGCTTCTGATGAAGCTGACCTTGGATATGTGCAGGCAATTACATATTATGGATGATATCTATCTTCTTAGCCACTGCTACCTTACTTTAACCTATTGTTTCTTGCATCCATGCAGCTCCATGGGAATCGTTCTCGAGATGCTTTTCAAAACATAGTGAAAGATATCCGGATAATATATGTTCTACACGCAAATGAAGATGGAAAACTTTTGAATTCAATTTCGGATGAGCGATCATCTCAAGTTGATTGGATTCTTGTTGATAGTGCTACAGGTGGCAGGTATGTAGATCCTATGTGTAGTCGACAGCCTCTCTTGTTCTTTATTTGATTCTTTTCTACTACCATAATTGATATAATTATTTAAAATTTATAAAACTCTTGTTTGCTGAAAATTATAGAAGCCATGGTCGTTAAATACTGTATTAAGCTGCACTACAGGAGGTCTGGAAGAACCCTTCTATTCAAGGGGCATTCTAGAGGAATTAAACACGGATAGATGTAAAATTTTGTCTTTGTTTCAGTTTTTTAAACTTTTTCAGATTGAATCCTTCAAAAATTGTGTTCAAATAAGATAAGAGCTGCATCGATCTAAAGGGTATAATGTCATTGGAATACAAAAGATGGTGGCTTTAAATTTTTTCTTTTCATACTTGCAGTGGGAAAGGCTTTAACTGGTCAAAGTTCAAATTACCTGCTATCAGTAGCAAACATGGATGGCTATTAGCTGGAGGAATTAACCCTGAGAATGCATATGAAGCTCTAACGACTCTTCGGCCACATGGGATTGATGTTAGCAGTGGCATTTGCGGTCGTAATGGGATTCAAAAGGATAAACAGCGGATATTGTCTTTCATGAAGTCAGTCAGTTCTGTGCATTATTGAGGTAGCAAGTGTGGATGAATCTCAAACAAATGAATGTGGTAAATTTTCTAGGTTCAATTCTGTTTTATGTTTTTGGAGTGTATGAGAGTCATTTTTTATATGTCATAACTATACAACATGGTAGTTTCATCGGTTGTAATAATAACATTTTGGCTGCAGTGATGGTATATGAGCAGATCAAGACTGTTAACAATGTTGATGATCAAAGGCTAACAAGGTAAGATTGAAATCTTTAATCATAAAATGACATGGATCTGTGAATTATTCTTCTAATTTATCCATGGATGTATTATAAGTGCAGAAAGTGGTGATAGCAGTATAGCACTCGAGGACAAAACATCTGAATATTGATCATAAGTTGGTGTGCTTAGATATATTTTGGAACTATTTTGGGATTTTGGGTTACCTTGGGGATGATAATTTTTTTTTTAATTTTTTTATTTATAGAAAATAAGTATTTGATATTATATTTTGAATATAGAATAATAGATTTTTAAAATGATATTTTGAATATAGAATATGTTCTTTTATCCAAAAAAATTCTACTACTTATTCAATTTTTTCTCCCTCCAAATATCAATCAAATACTTATTTTTTATTTTTTATATTATATTAAGAATTAATTGTACATTCAAAACATCACAGCAACATCTATTTATATCACATTATATAACTATTACAATTCAAAATTTTTACTAAAAATTCAATTTCTCAAACAAACACACTTGTCATGAATTACTTTTTCTATCCATTGTTGGTGGAAAAGAATTTCCTGGTAGTAAAAATTTAGGTTGTGTTTTTTTTTTTTTTTTTTGATTTTACCGTAAATTTTTACTATTTAGATTTTTTTTTTCTTAAAAAAATATCAAATCAAATAATTACTTTTTTTTTTCATATTATACTATAAATTTATTTTACTTTCAAAATATCACGTCAATACTTATTTATATCGCATTAAACAACTATTCAAATTCAATTTTTTACTATTCAAAAATTCAAATTCTAAACCCACAAACAACACCCCCTTAATAATTTAATACTTCTTCGAGGTATTTTTAAGACCATCTTGACATGGATACAAAAAGATCGGAACTTGCAATTCCACATATTCCAATCGGACCACTCTTGAGAGGTCGAGCAAAAGCGTGCATTGAAAAATTGCAAGACCTGATAAAGAAATTAGAGAATTGGAGTCCAACTGATGGACTATGTTACAATATGCGAGGACTTGATGGAAAGCCTAGAACGAGTGAGTTTGTAACGCCTCAATCGGACAACTAACGGTAAAATTGTGCAAATCTAGGAGTATGCTAAAATAGAGGGTTTTATATGTAATTACGAAAATCTAGGTTTGCACATGCTTAAGTGGGGGACCATGCATTGGGACCACTTATATTTATATATATATATAATAAACTCTCATATGCCTTTCACATGCAAGGGGGACATTAGCTAGGTGTCACTTAATGGGAGGTTATTTACTTATACTAAATTTATTCTACATTGAAAAATCACTCAACTTGCCCCTTCCCCTACTCCTATAAATAGGACCCAAGGTGCTTTGTAAGACACACCAAACAATAATATTTTTATGAATATTTGATCATTTATGATTATTTTCTTTTTATGAAAAGTTATGCTTGATAGCAATACTTTTCTTTTTTTAGTCTAATATTTCATGGAATGCAATTCCATTGCATGCTCCATAGGATTTAGTTTAAAAATTCGGGTTTGAGTATAAAGCCTCAAGTTCGTGGTATTTGGGGAAGGTGGAAGAGCTCTCCAAAGTGTTGACCGAGGTGGTGCCTTCGTGGAGGATGGTTCGATGCTAGAAGGGTATCGGATCGTGCTTACGTTAGTACTTACTTAGGTTTGTTTATCTTTCGATTATCCTTTTTCTCGCTTTATTCGTTTCGTTTAGTTAATTTGTTTCTTCTTTTCTTGCGTAATTAGTTCCATTTAGTAGCTTGTTCGTTCTTTTTGCTTTATTAGTTAGTTCCGCTTAGTAGTTTATTCCGTGTCTTGTGTAGTTGATCAATTCGGTCCATGGCACATTCCCAACAAAAGATATCCATATTTGTGTATCTCAGCTACTTTTACCTTGCTCGTCATTTTTGCTCTACCACGTCAAGCGGAAATATTTTTTTTCTGTTTTATATTATTTTTTATTTTATATTCACACTAAAGATATTAATTCTAATTTTTTAATTAATTTTTATTCTCATGTATATATAATATATTTTACTTATAATTTTTTTGTGATTAATTAATTGTGTTAAATTTATAATTATATTTTATTCAATAAATTGAATTATTTTTATTAATATTGATTTGGACAATAAAATTAAAAAATATTCATATTTATATATTTTAAATTTTAAATTAATAAAAATATATTCAATATTAGCATTATTTCGTAGCGTTGAAAGTGGATTGTATTGTTTTTAAGTTTTGGTTTATGTTGTTGCAGATGGTCCAATCAACGGACAAATAATGATAGACAAATACGGCCTACTTTATCTTGAAACCAATCAAACAAGAAAATTTCCCAGAAGCGTTGAAAGTGGATTGTATTGTTTTTAAGTTTTGGTTTATGTTGTTGCAGATGGTCTAATCAACGGACAAACAATGATAGAAAAATACGGCCTACTTTATCTTGAAACCAATCAAACAAGAAAATTTCCCAGAATTGATCAATCAAATCAAGACCCAAACGAATTGATTGAGAAAGTTAATTGGAATAACAAACTTTGTGGATGTAGGGAGAGATAGTGTGGGAAATATTATATTCTTGTTGAGTTCGTTAGAGTGAATATTCTCATGTTTGGATATTTAGCTTTATCATATAATATAAAGTAAAACAAAATAGATTTGAGGAGTACATAGAAAAATATGAATGTAATTCATTTAAGGAAATATGAGATAGTTCCTAGGCTCTTGGGTGACACTAGTTCATTGAGTTGGTGGTGATGAGGATGATAGGTTAGGGGTGGGGTATCTTCAAGAAATAGTGAGATAGATTTCTTGAGAGTTGTAATTCTAATTGTATCCATAAAACCTCATGCTTCGATTGTTTTGACAGTGAAACTCGTCTGGATTAGAACCCAGATGTAGATCGTTGATGACCGAATTGGGTTATCACCCGTGTGTGCATTTGCAGTCTGATCATCCAGAAAACAATCCGTTCGATTGTGGAAGTTGTCTCTGTTGCTGTTGTGCATGTTTTTGGTGGTGAGATATTGCTTCTGTTTGGTTTTGAGCAATTTTGGGGTCAACACGTAGAATATAAATTTTTATACATTATAAAAGTATTACAAAACTAAAATAAAATAACACACTTAAAATAAATTACAAAAATTATATATATATAATATATCATATAATATGCTATGTGTTCAATTATGATGGGACACATAGCAAAAATAAAAAATCTCCCAAGACATCTTTGCGGAGATTCCTGAGAGGAGAAATCTCCTATTTATATACATATATATTTAAATTTTGATATGACAGTATTTCCTTACAGATGGTCTTAGGATGTGAGTAGATTATGAGTGTTGATTCAATTCAACATCAGTAGGATAATAGACATTAGACAATATCACGAGTGTCACTTACATACTGATCCTCTTTTATGCTTCTAAAGAGTATTCTAAACTGGTGAAATGGAAAAGGACCCGATATCTTAGGTGTCATGTAATATTTTCCTAGAATAGGCTGAGCTGCTTTAGTCTGCACCAAAAGAATTAGCTATATAATCAAAATAACAAAGTATAGTGAAATGTCTAGTTTCTTGGGCAAAATTAGGACACACTTACAGCTTCGATCAAATGATAGTGTGCAATTTGGGGGAAAAGATAGATGTATCACATGTGTCTGTATGTTATGATGGATGTTGTTTATCCATCCGTAATCACGGTCAAGAGTTGTGAGGCCAATGGTGTACCCAGTGTCCAAAAATGAATATTTGTATGAATTTACTAAATGACCAAAAATGAGCTTGATAGATTTCGATTAGAGCAAGAGTTTATAATTATTTTCATGCGGGTCTAACAAATGCAACAATTTAACACATATTTTCTCTCATTTGAATAATTAATTTGCATAAATTTAGGTTAATTTTAAGGTTGGTAATACGCTAACACACCAATGTGCTTTGAGACATCAACTATATATTCCCTCAAATAATCAAATTTGCCTCATCAGCCATTCGTGTAGCTATCTTACGTGTCTGGAAACCTACGTCGTCAATCGTATCATATATAAAAGAGCATTGACATATACCCGCCGATCATGTGCCTCTGTTTGCATCCAAACAACTCTGTAGTAAAAAATTCATTTATAAATGATTATCGTCATATACCCATATTTCTCGTTCATTTACCACGGTACACGAGTTTACAAAAAAGTTTCAATGCACATTTGGTCTTACTGTTGTATATTTACCTACAATCTTACATAATATCCAACATGGCAAAAATAATTACAAAAAATATACATTGACAACAAAATATTGATGTACATCCTATAAAAATAAAAAATTGTAACTTTTAATGTTCTACAATACCCGCTCGTTACAATAACTATATATATACATGAAAAATATGATATCAATAACTATTAATTTAACAAAACAATATCATTTAACAAGCAATTCTTATGAGATTAACTAACTAAGACACTATTGATTACAAATCATTTGATCTATTAAGTAATACAATCTCCTGAGATATGAGTAATTACAAAACCAACATATACATTGATGACAGAGGTTGGACAATATAGCATTAAGTACTCAAGGAAATAAAAAACAATTTGAATTATTAAAAAATTATCGAAAAAAAAGCTACAGTTTAAAACTAAGTATCTCAAAATCAATGAAATATTACATTAAGACAAAAACTAAAAAATTACAATATTAGAAACCTATGACACCCCGGCCCGCAAGCCACGCAAAATCGAGCGTGTCAAGATCGTAGACTAGGTCCACAGGTCAACACGAGTCCTTCTAGCGTGCTTCTGTCATCACTCACGTGCACCTTAGGAGACTTCCCAAAGGTCACCTATCCTCAACTGGCCCCACAGTTCAACACGAGTCATTCTAGCGTGTTTCTGTCCTCACTCAAGTGCGCATTCTAGGAGACTTCTCAGAGTGTCACCCATCCTCAACTGGCCCCACAGGTCAATACGAGTCATTCTAGCTCGATTATGTCATCACTCACGCGCATCCTGGGAGACTTTCTAGGGGGTTATTCATTTTCAAATTACTCTAGGGCAAACACGCTTAACTTTAGAGTTCTTTCAGTAGAGCTTCCGAAGAAGAACGTGCACATTGTTGACATGAGTAGTTTTATTCAATCAATTTAACCTCTAATCAACTTTGGATGGCCAAATACCGGCTCATCCACATACGGAAGTTGGCCAAGCAACGGTCCAACTCCGGAGGTATCACACCGGCTCATCTACATACGGGAGTTGGCCAAGCAACGGCCCAACTACGGAGGTATCACATCCTCCCCTAATTTAGAATGCAACGTTCACGTTGCACCCCAAGGATCGTCAACTGCTAGGCCTCTCAACAGTCAGGTCAACGAGGTTATCGCAAGTCGGCTCTGATACCAACTATGACACCCCGGTCCGCAAGTCAACCAAAACCGAGCGTGTCGGGATCGTAGACTGGCCCCACAGGTTAGCACGAGTCCTTTTAGAACGCTTCTGTCCTTACTCACTCGCACCCTGAGAGACTTCTCAAGGCCTAACCCATCCTCCAATTACTTTAGGGCAAACACGCTTAACTCTAGAGTTCTTTCAGTAAGGTTTCCGATAAAGAATGTGCACATTGTTGACATGAGTAGTCTTATTAAATCAATTTAACCTATATCAACTTTGGATGCCCAAATACCGGATTATCCACACATAGGAGTTGGCCAAGCAACGGCCCAACTCCGAAAGTATCACAAAACCATTAATAGATTGTAAACAACAAAAAATCTAAAAAGTAGTAATTTTTTTTATACTAAAAAAGAACAATATAAAAGCTCTTACATATGAAGTGTTGTGAATTTATATCCCGGATCGTTGAATTTATTTGAATAATACCTCATATACAGGATTATACAAATCAATTAATAGCGAAAGCAAATTCAAATAAATCCAAAATAATATCAATACCGAAATGAAATGAATTGAACATAATATATTAGGCTAAATCAATTTTGGAATTAGGAAAATCAAAACGCAAACAAATGTGCCTTAATTCCAATTAACCAAACAAATCTGAAGTAAAAAACAAATGAACATAACAATTAGAAATTATGCAATTGACTTCGAATGACTTCCTTTTCGTGTTGCGGAGATTCAATTCGGATGAAATTGGGGACGCCCAATTCGACCGACGAAGGCTTCTTCTCCAACCAAATAGTTACGCGCGGCGACAACGGCGCACTCCTCCGATTAACTCCGAAATAGCACCGAACAACTTCTTCCTCTCATCGACATTCCTAAAGACAACTCCTACACTTACATTCATTCTAAATCTCTCTCTCTCTCTCAAACCAAATGCTTTCTCGGTTCTCTCTTCGTTGTGCGATTCTCCCTCTGTTATGTTTCTCCACTTGCCTTTGCGGCGCGGTGCTGTTCTGAAGCTGAAATAACTTCCCCCTCTTTCATAGTGTTTCAAACTTCAAACAAATTAGGAGAAATAAATTTCATAAATTCCATAACCACAGTCATCGAGCACGACCAGATGTACACAAATATATTATTTTAGTTTTGATATATATATATATATATGATATTTTATTCAAGAATTTAGGATTATTTTGTAATTGAAATTAAAATTTAAAATTATTTTTTATTTTTAATTTTTTAAATATATATTTAATTTATATATTTATTAAAATTGAAAAGTGAAATTATTTTATTATTTATTTTAAATTAATTTATAAATTATAATACTCCCTCCATTCCAATACAATAGTTTTGTTTACTACTTTTTTGTCCCAAATCAATAGTCTCATTTTCATAAATAATCATATCATTATAAAATTACCCTTACCTTTTCATTATTATTACACAATTGCCATTTTTTTTTACACTAATACACTCACAAGGGTAAAAAAGTTTTTTACCCACTACCAATATAATATCCATATTGCTTAAATCTCGTGCCGAACACAACTCAAACTATAGTTTTGGGACGGAGGGAGTATATATATGTATAACATGTATAATAAATATATTATTTTAACAGACGTTTGCGAACAAAGTTCGATCTCGTTCATTAACTAAACGAACTTGTTTATGCTTTTCGACTCGGCTTGTTAATATTCGTATTCATTTGATGGCCAACCAATTGTTCATCTTTCTTCTCATTCTCCATATTTCTTGTTTTCTTCATTTTTTTTTTTCATTTTTTTTTTCTCCGGGACAAGATTTCTAATGATGTGCCATAAGTTCGAACCGGCGGTTCACGATTTGGAGACCAAAACCACATGTTGGAAACCGAAAAATCGGTTAGGCAAAGCCTGACCTAAATTGTCAAAACCGTCTGTTACAGTTTGAAATCGCCAATTTCAATTTATCAAAAGGTGAAATCAAACCTTCTGAATTACGGTTTTGATTACGATCCCGGTTTAAATTGTCTATTTATATTTATTATTTTTAATAATTTTTTTTTAAAAATTTTATAAATTCTATTAAAAAATAATTAAATTTAATTTTGATATTATTTAGATCTATATTTATTATGTAAAAATTATATCAATAATAATAATTGATTAGATTGTTACTATATAAAACTAATCAAAATAATAAATTTAATAAATAGTTAAATTAAATTTAAAAATTAATAATCAATTATAAAAAATATTAATGTGATATAATTTAAATTAAATATAATTATATACTACTTAAAATTTTATAAAATTTAAAATATGAATTATTAATAAATATTTAGTTTTATTAATATTATTTTAATTTTATATAAAATTAGTAATATATAATAAATATTGTTGCCCTAATCAATTATCTCAATTAATTACAAATCCACAGCTGCCGCACATTATCTCCGACTACACCAAATTAATATATTTTTAAATAATAAAAAAAAAAACAAAACAAAACTGGCGGTTCGAATCGGAACCGAACCGTGGGAAACCGGTTTTGGTTGACCGGAATCGCCGGTTTGAAACCGGTGAACCAAGATTGGAACCGCCGGTTAGAAACCGGTTGAGCAAGTCTACCGACCTCGAGGCTCGAAGGTTGGAGAGTTTAGGATGAAATGTGAAACATTATAAAGATCCAGGGGTTAATTGCAATTTAGATAAAATACAAAATGAAGGGGTAGAACCGTAGAAATAGCTGCTCGCAAACCTTTCGGACGGAGATTTATTCTCCGGCGATTCACTCCATGCTTTCTTTCCTCGTCGTCAGTTCGCAATCCAGCCCATAAAATTTATCCTGTTCCAGGTAATAATATGCTTCTCGTTAGGTTATGGATTGGGATGTAACTCATTCGGATTAACGGGAGAACTTTATGATCGTGTATTTTTTTAGAATTTATTTTCCTGGTATTGGAAATCAGCTGGAGATTTGTTTCCGTAATGCTGTTTATTTTCTTTAATTTCATGATTTGTATCTATTTTGTCTTTAATTGAATTTGTTAGGTAGTTTGTGTGTTTAGTTTTGGTGTTGGAATCGATTTCCCTGGAGATCGACTAGAACATCCTACTGATTCTGCAATAGTTCTGCCATCTGAATTTGACTGAATCCATTCCTGGGAATTATTCAATCCGGAACGATCTCTCCAATCAATCCCACCAGTGGCTTTGGCACATATATTTGAATGGAAATAGAGAATTCAGTATAAAGCCTAACCATCTTTTGCTAAATTCTTGTGAACCATTCTATTTCACTTTAGAGGGTGTTATATCTCATACTATGCTGATCCTGTAGATGGCTTGTATTTGATCTTCTGCTAATCAACTTGCTGGTATTATTACGGAATTCCTATTCGACATCTTGATCTCTTGTGCAACCTAAGTTGGTTTCTACAAATTCAAGAGGAGGTGTTACAATAGATATCTGGAATATATTTGCATATCTTGTAATTATGGTATTATTCTTATTTAAGATTCTAGACTTATTTATAAGATTTATATTTTGTTATAAATATGTATGATTTCTTCTTAATAAAAATAGAGAATTCAATTTTGCACTGTATCGTCAACGATTCAGCTCTAATCTTCTTCTTCAACTGGTTTCGTCTGCTACAAATCAAAATTGTTCTTCTTTATCTTCTGCTGGTTTCATCTCTTACACTGCAGAAAAGTGCTAGTTCTATCATTCTTTTCATTTATGGATAAAAAGAGAAACGAGTGTGGGAATCTGTCAAGCTTTTGCAGCAATTTTGAAATGTTTGATGTTTTGTTATTCCAATTCAATCGAATGATTCAAAAGATATCTCTTGGGTTTTGCTGCTGGAAGACCTAATGTTCTAGTCGTGGTTGTAGTGTATTTGTATATGCGTGTATGCTGTGGCTTTCTGACATTACTGATCAGTGATGGTGAGGTGTGGTGTAATTTCTCCTGTAGTGCCGTGCTAAGAATTATGTGAAAATTTCAGGCTTCCCTCTTATTGAAGTTCTGAGTTCTATTGAATATGGATTGGCTTACTTGATTTTGTTTGATTGTGTTAGTGATGCCTTTCGAGGTTTGCATTATGTTTTTACGTTGTGACAGGCAAAGACAAACTTGATAGGATGTTTATTATTTTCTTCTACATAGAACAAGATTTTAATGGTTGAATTGTTGCAGAAATGGCGAAAGTTAGAGACAGAACTGAAGATTTTAAGGATGCTGCGCGGCGGTCAGCGCTAAATTTGGGATATGATGAGGTTCTTCTACTGAGCACTTTTCAAATATTTGAAAATCTTATACACTAATTGCAAAAATTAGTTTACATTTTTATGGAACTAATTTATGAAGATAAGGGTTGATTCATTCGTTAAGATGCAATTGTTTTCGTCAGTCTAAAATCGCAGCAATTATGGCGTCATTTATAATGCACAAAGCTCGGGAGAGATCATCTTTCACCAAAGCTGCCCTGAAAACGGTAGCCAATAACTGCTTTACAACCTCTTTTGATGCTAGCGTTTCCAAACATTTTCATAACTTTTCTTGCCTATGTTCAAGTCTGAGTTATGCCATGTGATTGTGACAGCTTGAAAGCATTGTTGCTTTAGAGCAGTTTCTTGTGGCTCATAAAAAGGACTACATAGACGTGCACCGAACCACTGAACGTGAGAGAGATAGCATTGAACATGAGGTAATAAATTGGCTACATTGCTTAATTAAGATTAAAATATCACTGCCCTTTTCTTTACGGTGACCAATTTGAATTTATATCTTTCGCTGAATCCTGATTTCCGGTTTCTCCCATTAGTAATGTTTCATTTCCAACCTTCTCAAAGATATACATGATTTTTGTATCATGTTAGATTTTCCTTGTTAATGAATGCATATAGAGCTCTTGATACATACTCAATTATAAAATATTTATATCGATTATCGTATTGGCCTTATTTACCTGCATATCTATCAATCACCGCATCATGCAGGTGACCGTCTTCATCAAAGCATGCAAAGACCAAATTGATGTTCTCAAAAATAGCATAAATGATGAGGAAGCAAACTCAAAGGGATGGTTAGGTATGAGGAATGGCAATTTGAATGCCGATACTGTTGCTCACAAACATGGAGTGGTATGCTTCTTTGATGGCGACAATACATTACTTTTTTTTTTTTTTTTTTTCTTTCTTTTGAGTGCTGAGTTAGAACTATTTGTCTACAATAAACCTTTACCTTATTTGGATTATACGGTTAGTACATACAGTGGCGCGTTGGTCAACTGCAGGATATATCATGAGTAGAGGTAGGTGGCAAAAACTGACATGAAATTACCACCCGATACGAAATAAATAGGTTTGGGTTAAGAATTTTGACCCGATTATATATACGGGTCGATACGAATCTGACACAATAATAAATGAGTCAGGTTAGGGTTGAAGTCTCCAATCCGAACCCGATACGATAACCCGTTTATAATATATAGATATGAATTAATATATTTATTATATATGTAAAATGATCTTACTTTGATAATTTGTTTTTCAAAAAGTTATTAAATTGAATTGAATACAATCTGTATATTTTATTTTAATAATTTACTGTTTGTTATATATGTATGTGTGACTATTTTTTATTGATTTAATGACTTGGGTTTTTTTAGATGGATTATTTGATTATAATTTGATTTGTTTAAATTTAATTTTAAAAAAATTTAAATGAATAAATGGGTCGATTTGGTGTTAGTTGGGTTGGGCTCGGGTCTAGTCTTTTGATCCCTTTAAGTAAACGGGTCGGATTCAAGTTGGATACTTTGACCCGTTTAAAAACTCAATTCGACTTGAACCTGACCCAACAAATTGCCAGCTCTAATCACGAGAGGCACGATTTCGAATTGTTTACCTTAAATCAATTTGAACACTAGAATCAGATGATCTTTCCTCATTATGAAGTTCTATAATTTTGGGTTGTCGGAGGAAATACCAGCCATTTTTATTCTAGTCCCCGGTCATATCCTCTAGTAATGATTATGTTTGGTTTTATTGGGCATTTGATATACTGACTTCTATAAACTGAGTTGCACTTTTATCATGTTGCAGGTCTTGATATTAAGTGAGAAACTTCATTCCGTGACATCGCAGTTCGATCAGCTTAGAGCTCTGCGCTTCCAAGATGCCATCAACCGGGTAACACCGAGAATAAAGCGCAAGCAACATGGCAAAATCGATGTTTCAGATAGTTCTACTTCCAGGAATTTAGACACTAGAGAAGTCAACACTTCGGAAGTCAGGAAGGAGGATGATGTTCAAGCAGGGCCAATTAGATTCCAGCAACAGCTGTTGGATGACGAGACGCGCGCCCTCCAAGTAATAAGCAAACAAAAATAAGAAAGAGGCTTCTACATACACGAAGCATGTTATTGAGTTTTGGAATCGTTTGTTTTCATCATGTGGTATTTTGACCCGCAGGTGGAGTTGTCTAGCATGTTAGATGCTGTTCAGGACACAGAGACGAAAATGGTGGAAATGTCGGCCCTAAACCACCTCATGTCCACCCATGTTCTGCAACAGGCCCAACAGATCGAGTATTTGTACGACCAGGTTAGCTACTGTTTTTTCACTCTGATAATTCTTCTCTTTCCAAGAAAAATCCCATGGTTTTGCCTCAAGGTCTTCTCAATTCAAATTTTCCGGATTGAAACTTGGTATGATGCTCCATTTAAATAAGAAAGCGTGCTGTTTGTTTACTTTGAGGTTTGGTTTTAAGTTTTGGTCCGTGAATAGTAGTTCGAATGTAATGTTCTGTAAGAGGAGATCCTATACTTTTATTAGGGATCGTAAGAGTTGCATAATTTGTTTTATTTTATTTTTGGCGAAACAAGAGTATAGAATTGCCTAAGATAACCGAGCTTAAATTCTTGTGATGTTTGTAGAGAGGGTAGTTAATCGAGCTGACCTATATGACTTGACAATATATTTGAAAAAAAGTCTAGTTTGAGCTCGATATATATTCTTTCGGACAAGGAAGGAGAATTTGCTCTTTGATTGGAGTTTATGTTTCGAATCTTAATTGAATGAGAAAACTAGAATTAAACATGTCAAGTTTAAAAACTATATTTGCCTTTTTGTCATTTATTTAATTTTGTATATTAGAATGGATATGATACTTTTCGACTTTGCTTGCTAGGCAGTGGAGGCGACGAAAAATGTTGAGCTTGGTAATAAAGAGTTGTCGCAGGCGATTCAACGGAACAGCAGCAGCAGAACCTTTCTACTGCTCTTTTTGTTCGTCCTCACTTTCTCGATCATCTTTCTTGATTGGTATAACTGAAACATCGAAATCGAAACTTCAAATGTACATGTGACACACATTGGACCTATACTATATTGTACTAAAGTATACTTTTAGCGGGAAATTTTTGTATTGTAGTTTATGCGACTGTAATTAATTGAATTGTTGATATTTTGTGCGTGCGCGGGGAATATAATTTATTTTGTGAACGCCTGTTCGTGACATGTGGAATTTTGGTGATTTTATAGTTTTTGGAATTTTTGTTGTTCTAATACTAATAATTTTTAGATTGGTAATTTTGTATAGAATGAAGTTGATGTTGGTATATTTTAAAAAAATATAGTACTTCATTTTATTTTATTTAAATTGTTATATGAAAGATACTTTATTTTCTTGCGATCATATATGAAGGACAATTTTATCAAGTACTTTATGAACTTGATGCAAATACGAAATGTGATTTATTGCTAAATTTACTATGGAGCTTCACCATTAGGGTTATATTCTCATTGGCAATTTTATTTATTTATTTATTTTGATTAAATTTAATAATTAAATAATAAATTAAATATAATAGTATCTTATAAGAATAAATAATATAAAAAAGAATAAAAGAAATTAACAACTTTTTGTGGAAATAAAGGGGATTTGTTCGCATTGCTGCGGAGACGATTCTTAGTAAATAAATAAAAAAATATACTATATATATTAATACAATATATATACATATATATATATATAACATTTTATTTCTTAAAAAAATTAATTTTTTAATATAAAATATTATTTATTATATTACAAAAATATTCTTTATACCTAATATGAAAAAAAAAAAAAAAAATTTATCCAAGACCACTAAGTGAACAAACTTAAAAAATCCGACTCTAAGATTTTATTTGTTTTTTTCTATCTTTAAATATTAATTATTGTATATGTTATTAAAAAATAATAAAAAAATATTTATAAAAAAAAATTATTATAAATATAAAAATAATTTTAATGTTTAACAGCTAAGCGAGAACATTAATACAGAGTTATCACCCTCTTATTACCATATCGCACACATAACATACAATACAATACAAGCACAACCTACGATTACACAAAACCTTACTCCACCAAACCAAAAACACACTAGTAATAATAATAATCCAACCTGCAAAAACCCCTATGAATTCCAGGGTACCAGGCTGATCTCTAACACCAATATACATATATCTAAATTACAAGAATATGATCAATCTGCTACTTGACCACAACCACAGATGGAAGCAGAGCTTCGCCGGAATCTACATCCTCCGATGCATCGACTTTCACCACCGACCACCCCTTCACCCCTAACTTCTCCACAGCTCCGGCCACCCCCTTCCCCAGAACCTCCCTGATCCAACCTTCCACCCTCTCGCCGCCGTACGCATACGCCGCTGCCACCACCTGCCGCATCACCTTTTTCTCTACCTCGATCGAACACTCCGATCCGGCGACGTCGCGCAAACACTTGTCCATCTCGTCAAACAGCTTCTCCGCCACCCCGTCGAAATCAAACGCCTTGAAAACCACAGTCCGATCGACCTGTCGGCTGACGTCGTCCCGCCACGAGGACGCCATCGAGTCATCGGAGCCAGAGTCGGAGAACGCGTTCGATAGCGCGGCGACAGCGACTTCGCTTTCTTCCGCCGGAAGGTTCAAGTCGGGGCACGAGTTTGACGACGACGACGACTTGTGCGGTCTTTTCGTCGTCGACTCCGCGCTCCCGTGCTCGTCCGCGGCTCGACTCTGTCGGAGCAGCTTCCGTTTGTTCATCAAGCTCGCGGGACCATCGTTGAGATCGAATCCGATCGATACCTGAATCGAACCGCTGCCCTTCGTCTTTAATATATCTTCCTCGCCGTAACTTCTTTCGCTGCCATCCGCTGCGACGCTTGTTGTCATAAAAAATATGCAGTTGCTTACGCTCGCTTCTCTGCCGCGCACGTCGATAAATCGGTCGGTCTTCATGGCCTGAGACAAGCTGTTCTGAACAACCATGTCCGCGTTATCGATGTTTTCGATGAACACAATCGACGGCTTCTTGCTCAGCTTCTCGACTAAGTAATCGACGACGGTTCCGCGCATCGTGATCTCGTATTTATTCGTCACCTGAGAAATGACCACCGCGTCCGTCTGAGATATCTCGTCGGGGAAACTCAGGTCGATATAGACGAGACTTTCTGTGCTGCCGTATAGTAACTCAGCCAGCGCGATAGCAAGTTTCTTCTTGCCCAAACGATCGGGTCCGCGGCAGTTTATCCATAAGCTTTTACGGCTGGTGGGTTTGGTTCGACATTGTGTAATTGTTTCGACAATGTCGTTAATAGCATCTTCTTGCTGATGAACTCTTCTGGCAAGAGCTGCATAGATTGTCTTCGGATCCTTCACGTAGAATTTCGAAGCTGATAATATCGAATCAGAATTCAAAGTCAAGAGATGTGAATAGATAACAGGTGAGATTTTGGGTAAACCAGATCACCTTTGGAATCGGATAGAAGTTCGGATGAAATGCTTCGATTGTTGGCCATCGACAGCGCATCCAAAGAGCTAAGACCTTTCAGTGAAGAACCCTGTTGTAAATCGGTAGATAAGCTCGACGACACGTTCTTGTTTCCCGCTTCATTTGATGATTCGTTGGAGCGGTTGCTACGAACACAGCTCGTGTCGTCGCCAACAACTTGGAAGCCGAGAACACACGGATGTTGCCGGTATTCGATTTGCTGAGTCAATCCTTTGGAGAAGGATTGATTTAAGTGATGTTGCTGGCAGACGCCGTCCCATTTCTTTCGTATCGACATAATTTTTGCGTTCAGTAACACCGTATCGTCTTTGCCCTGCACTGAAACTTTCGAAAATCAAGTTGCTACGACTTGCTCGTAAAATCGAACAACTAAGATCCATATGATCATCATAAAGAACTGAAATTGAGATCTCAAGAACACAAAAATAGTAACACACCTTTACGGATGCATTCAGCTCGGCGTTCTGCAGCCAAGAAGGCAAGCTTGACTTGCACTGCTCTCCACAACTTCCTCCATTCGAAACTGCAGCTATTTCTTGCTCGCATTTCTCGTTGCAGAGATGACAACGCGTCGTATACTGCCATGCATTATTGCTCACCGAGCTTTGCGTCTCGGATGGCATTGAGAAGAATCCACCCAATGGAACAAAAGACCCCATCAAGCTGTAAGACCCAAAAACATAAGTACATTCAACTTATTCAGTTAGTTTTCTGCGTACTCAAAGATTCCAAGTAACGGAAGTCTTTTGGTATCATATAATTGCAAATGGAACACTATCAACCATTCAAAAGCTTCGAACTAAACTAATGTTACAATTCAAATAATCGTCGAGAATTACTCATCACATTGCAAAGTAAAGGAAAACTTGAGAATTGATATAACCCATTTAGCTATCAGTGTTGGCCAATCTAAGTTGAAGATTAAAAGAATCGACGTGACAGAAATAAAGGTATCCATCCAATATAAGGACAAACACCAAATAATTCCAAAGGAATAAAAACAATATGCAATGATTTAACTGAAACCAAACTTGTATTTGACATCTACTGTATCTTTTCAGTGTCTCAAAAGTATGTTGAAGTTGGCAGATAGAGAGCATATGCAATGAGAAAATTATGTTGTCTATATTGGTTAGATTAAAGCACTTAATTTGTCTCTAATGTTTCTTGGAGCTAAAGGTGTAAAGAACTGAAAAGAGAAAGCACTCGAGGTTGTAAAGTATCGAAAGGTAGCGTTGTTTAAGAATTAGAAAAGCCATTACTCCGACAACTTTGATAATTCAAGTTCTACTACTAATAGTTGCTGTACATATGTTACAAATGACAGTTCTTCAAACTATATGTATCAGTAGTGGACCAAAATGTTCGACACAAGCTTGAACAACAGGACTAGTGTGAATATAACACAAAAGTTAGATGAGCTTAAAGAAGTAAAGGGCAGTAAAAACTTGTTGAGAATCTAGCAGTAACTTAATTGAACCTAATAAAATTCAATCGTTGATTCGAAATCCGCTTACAAGAAGTCATCTAATTACAAATATATTCTCTGCTAGCACAGTCAAGGTGTACCTACAAGTTAAAACTGTGATATTTTTATAAATTACGTATCGATTGAGAACACAGTAGGATATTTTTTATCTCCACTATGTGATGTTGATTTGCAAATTGAGAACACACCACAGTATATAATCAATGACTTTCCTTTTCAAAAAAGGCTGACTTTGAGGCTAAATGACTCAGTCAGGAAGATATGCCGCGGCTTGATACCATGGCTATATTCAATCAGATAAGGACAGAAAGTTCTCTGGTGAGAAAAGTCCCAATATTTGATTCCATATCTAATTTCACAGAAAGAATCTTTAACAAGTTGTGGAGATAAATAGATGCGTATCCGGGCGAGAACATCAATGAGGAACACACAGCATAGTTTCAAAGATATGATACAGAAATATCATAAAGAACTTGGAACAAGATGCCAGGATTATGGTACTGGCTTATCTTTTTCATATTGGCAGCTAAGGGGTCAACTATCACAACAAATTTCGGTAAATACATGTATCAGTTCTAACTCATCAAGTTTGCACACCAAAAGAAGAACTACATATGCAGATCTAAGAACACAATTTTCCAGTAATCGGACCTTCATTATTCAACACAAAAATGCATTCAAGGATCATGTTTGTTTTATCAAATGCCAAGGGATTTGTTTTCTAGTGCAGATGAAGATTTTCATGGCCTAACAATGGCAGTAGAAATTGTTGCACTAGAATTTGAGGCAAGTGGGGAAAAACACCTATCAGGCATTAAAATAACTTGCAGATGGATTCAAAGAATTGTTTTTTTCATCAAAAGTATGCATAATTTAAAAAGATGCACGTTTCGAAATCATAATAAATAACTTCAAGATGCACTTTCTATCTAACTGATTGCCAAAAAGGGAAAAGCATTTATATATATATACATATAGATATATGCATATTGAATTGAGCTTACCTAGATCTGGGATAAGTGCCTCCTCCCATGGAAAATTTAAGGGAAGTCATGGGCAGAATTTCCAGATCCCAATCCTCATCAATGGTGGGAAACTTGCTCAAAACCTTAGAATGAACTTCATGTGTTGCTGCTGCTCCAATCAGCCAGAATCTCCCTCTGTGAACCTCCTGCAAGTCAGCCAATTTTCTCACCAAATAGTTCAATCTATCAAGAGCGGCTGCATCCCCAGCCAGTGCATTCAAGAACCCTAAATTCACCACCACCCCAGCCCCTGTAACTCTCTCCTCCATCACCAATCTTTCCATCTCCCCAAACCTCAACTTCAGAGGGCCCTCATCAGAGTCCCCATTCAAATACCTTGAAATCTCATCTTTTATGCAGACCACCCTCAGACCATTCAGCTCCTCTGGCAGAATTCCTTTGATCCTTTTCTGCACTGTTTCCAAGAAATTTGTCAAGGCATCCCCAGCAGAGACACCCAAAAGCAGTGGGCACCTTTTCTTGTCCCTTGACATAATCTCACCTATCCTCCTTGAGTTCTCGTCGTCCGCAGAGAAGCAGCCCATAAATGGAAAGCTAAAGCCTCTTCCTCCTCTAGCAGCTTCAGTGATGCTCTCATTCCCTGAAGCAGTCAAATTGCAGAGAAACAGCGGCGGAACTGTCCGTTTGTACCTGGAACAATAACCGAACAGGTGGTGTGCGTGAAAAGTGCTGTTCCCCGGCGGCCTGAGCGTAGCTAGCTTTATGTCGGAGCTCCTGAATCCTGCCTCCGCGAAGACTCTACTCACCAGAGGATCGTCGAGGATCGAGATTATTAAATTCTGGAGCTCCACCTTGACCACGGGTATGGCGGAAGAGCAGGAGGCGTATTGCTGCTGCTGCTGCTGGTAGAATGAATAGTTCTCCGGCTGTCTTCTCTGACTCGCCTGCGATCTCTTGATCGCCGCCATCAGCGAGTTGGAGACCGGAGGCTCCTCAATTTTAACCCCCTGCTGCGACGACGGCAGCCGATCGAGCGAGACGCTCAGCGACAGCTCGAGCGCCTTGAACTGCACTCGAGAGGAGTACGCACTGATCGTCCTCGTCCGCGTGCACGCCTCGCGCAGAGCAGACCGCGGCAGCGAGAGGAGCGACGACACCATGTGAAGCGACGTCGTCTGCGCGTGACCTCGCCGCCGCGCCACCGCCACCGCATCGTCGAGCGCGCATCCCGCCTCCTGCGTCAGGCATTGCCTCGCCGCGCTCACCGCCGTCGGCATGGAAGGAACAAATCCAAAAACAAAAAAACAACCACAAGTGGAGTGGGGACAACAAAAAGGAACAGCGCAGGGCACACGATAAAAATGAGCGAGAACTGAATCAACAATGGCGACTGCTATCAAGACGACAATGAAGGCGTTACAGCGACCATATATACCACCACCGAAGCTTCTTTAATTTCTTCTCTTCTCTTCTCTTCCTTCCTGCATAAATTAAACAAAGTAATTGTAAGGCTGACTGAGAAATCTGCAAGGGAGAGTGAGTGAGCTTTTGGTTGATTTAGGCGTTTCAATTATTTATGGAAAGGTAGTGATGGTGGGGAAGACTGTGGATGTGGATGGTGGGGTCTGATTGGGAGAACAAGAACCAACCGACGGTGGAGGCGGTGTTGGTGTTGGTGGTGGTGGTTCTGATTCTACTGTGTTGAAGAATTTTGATATTCGATTGGCAATGGCAATGGCGATGGCGATGATGACGACGACGATGATGATAATTCAGTGAAGTGACGGTCGTCTTCGTCTCCACTTTCACGTCTCTAATCTCTTCTTCACTCCACTTCAATAAATTCCCTCTGTATATATACATACATATACGTATATGTATATGTATAGTATAACATAAAGCGTGTGTATGCATTAAATAATAATTTAATTTTAAATAAATATTCTTTATTTTAACTTTTGACATTTAGATACTATAAATATATATTGATTTTCTTTATTTAGTATTTGTTCGTAATATTTAATTTGTCTATTATTTTTATTTTTAATTGTACATTAAATTTGTTTTTTACTTTTTTTTAAAATATAAATATACATTTAAATACATTTTAAAATGTTTAATTTATAAATTTTTTATTTAATTAAATTATTTAATTATTTTAATTTTAATTTAAAATTATTTTTATCAAATTATAATTATTTTTATTAATATACTTCGTACCTAATTGAAACAAATTAGTCGAAACGGAGAGAGTATTTTGATTTGATATATAGTATTTTTTGCGTGAGTATAAAAAATTGCGTAAATAATATAAAAATAATATTTTATATTGAATGTTGATTTTTTGTGAGATAATAAAATATGAATATATTATATTTATTGAAAATCATGTTAAAAAAAATAATAATAATTGAACATTTTCATATATCATGGTATTAAAGAAAATGGTATATAATTAGCTAATAATAATTAATTATAATAATATTTTATTATTTTTTATATAATTAATAATATTAATAGTTTTAAAATAAATTTAATGTATATGATTAAAAAAATTAGAATATGTATTTAAATATTTTAAAAATTATATCACAAAAAAATATGCAATATGAATATTATTTTGTAGAAAATAAATTTTTTATAATAAAAATAAATAAAAAATACATTTATTTATTTATTTATAATTAATTATATACTAATTTTATAAAAGATATAAAGTTTTAAATTAGATAAAAATATAGTTTTTAGGAATTTTGAACGAGTTCTACATGATTTATGATATTATATGTAATTAGTTAATTAAGTTGGTTTATATTAATTAAATATATTTGTATTTAGTAAATTTTAACCAAAATATAAAATTATCCATTGTTATAGCACAAACAAATACTCCATCCGTCCACTTACAATGTTTTTATATTTCTATTTTGGGACGTCCAATTATAAAGTTAATATTTTATTAAATACCCTACTTTTTTCCACAAATACCCTTATTTTACATCACATCATTACTTTTACACAAAAAATAAGGGCAAAAATGTCATTACACTACTTTTAACTGCTCACTATAATTAAAATACTATTATTTCTTAAACAACGCGTCAAAAGTAAATATAAACATTGTAAATGGACGGAGTGAGGGAGTATAAAAAAATATTAATTGTCACGTGATTGAGTGAGTATTAGAAGAAAAAAAATTATTAGGACAAAAGAATATTACTCTTTCTCTTAAAAGTTTGTGCATTTTTATTTTTTGTCAACCATCTTAGAAATATTTATATTTTTCTTAATAAAAAAAAATTATACTATCAAGTTTTCTATTTTTCAAGTAAAAGGTCAAAAATAAAAAAAGAAAAATGCATATGAGTGTATTTGTTTGGAGATTGATGGAGTAAAAAAGTATTGCATTTTAATATGATAGATTTTTAGAAAAACAAAAAATACTCTTTCCGCCTTCATTGTTGCATGGAGAAAGTTATTTTGGGTTGCCAAATTTCTTCTTATTTTTTTTAGTCCGCTAATTAAATTTATTCAATTATTAATTTTGACGAAATCAACAAATAAATATTTAACCGTTAACCTTTATTTTACAATAAATATCATTGTTTTTTTTTTCTATTTCCTTTAAATTTTAACTAATTGTTCAAAATACTTCGAATTTTTTTTTTCACTTTTTAATAAAATTTATTTTTTTTTTAAATTTTTTTGTACTTAATCCAAATAAACTAATCTTAGATAATAATACTTAAGATTGAAAGCATATTTTACAGTAGGATGTTGTTTGAAATTAATTAATATACTATTGATAATATAAAATATAAATCGACAATATAAAATATAAATTAATAATACAAGTGTTTGTAATTTACCAAGAACATAACATATAAATGGATAATATTTGAACTCAAAAAAAAAAAAAATGTTAAAATAATATATGTAAAATATAAATTGACACTAACAATTTACACAATACATGATATGAAATTTAAATCATATGGTAGCTACCTAAGCATTCTAAAATAATACTCTCCATCCAAGTTAAAGTCTCCAAATTATTGTAAACACATCAATTTAGGTAAAATATAATTAGCAAGTAATTAAAATTAATAAAAAAATTATTATATAATAGAAATAATTATAAATTAAAATTTAGATATCTAAATAATTTAAGTAAGATTAAAAAATTTATAAATTAAAAAATTTAAAATATGATTAAAGTATATAATCATATTTTTTTTTAAAAAAATGACAAATTACGAGAGACTTACTGAAATAGAAAAAATAACTTAGAATATATTTGAACAGTTTTATACTCATATACAAATAACACATAGTTTATATTCAAACAACAAGACATATATATACAAACATCACATAGTTAACGTTTATTTAACACTATATGATAGAAATAACTAGAATATATTTAGATAGTTTTATACTTATACACAAATAACACATAATCTATATTCAAATAGCAGGTCATCCCGTACCCAGTGGTGTGGAGAGCGAATTTATGACCGTGAGGTCATGAGTTCAAACTTTAACAACCTTGTTAGGCCTAGTTTGCAGGGTATTAGGTTCGGTTGGGTTAGTGATTTAACTTTTTATCTCTTGAGGAATTTCAAGAACATGTTGGATAAGGTGGAACTGACTGTGGGCGACCATCATGGCAAGCTTGACGAAGTGGAGCAGAATATTTGTGAGCTCGAGAGAGACAAGTTGCATAAAGAGATATTGTCATCAATCAATGTCATGATGGAGGAATCTCGAAAGTAAGATCACATAATGCAGAAGCTTTCCGAGGTGTTAAGGCACGCACAACGAATAATATTGAACTTGCAAAGTACAAGTTCAACATTACAAAGTTAGAGAAGGTGAAAGTTGGAGATACTTTATATCTCTTAGAAAAATTGGCTACATTAAGGGAGACAGTAGCCAAGTTGAGGACGCGGAGGCCAACCAAACTTATATTGCAATGACTACTAGGGAATGTTTCATGCCCATAATGCTTTGATGGGGAGCGTAAGGCGAGAGCAATAGATGATTTCATCTATAACATGAAGCAATACTTCGAGGATGCAGGCATCTTAAGAGATGAGACCAACGTCCATATGCCTTTCGGTACTTGAAGGATTGGTCTGCATCTAGTGGAGATGGAATGATGAGATGCATGGTATCAAAGAGGACATCTTCAAATAGAGGGCATTTTGGCGGGGGCGTAGTGAAGAAAAATTTGCACCAGCTGATGCTGAAGATGAGGCATGGTCCAGAATCTGCCGACTGAAAGGTGCTGAATGTGTCAGGAAAAAGGCTCTACTTACTTTCTATGCCTTGAAGTTGTAGGCTAGACTAAAGATCAAGGAGAAGATCCCCTCTAGCGATAACAAGGTAATAAAATATGCACAATGACTTATTGAAGTGGAACAAAAAGAGTCGATTAGGGGGTGTGATCCTAAATAAATCCTTCTTGATAAAAGTATGGGAGAGTAGACCAAATGAGTTGGTGATGTCGAGACTGTTAAAGCTTCTATTAGGCTAAAGACGTAAGAATGAAAAAGGCAGGGCCGACATATGATAAATATTTTATTTTCAAGAATAAAGATCACTATGCGAGAGACTGTCTTAAGAGAGGATGTCTGTCAGCACCACGTAAATAGAGAGGGCCAACGGACGAGCAACTAGCGTGTACGAAGATGACAAAAGACAAAAATGGTATCGTACTTAGAGGAAGGATGTATGTCAATGCAAAGATAAATGAAAAAAATTATAAAATGCATTATCAACACATGTGATTATGTGGACTACATCAACTTAGAAGTAACTCGTTAGATAGGCCTTACGTAGGCGCCGGAGTCATAGAGATTCAATGGAGTCAATAGAAAATGGACTTCTCTAATTGGAGTAACCAAAGACATACCAATCCAACTTGAAGAATGAAAATGTACAACGAGTTTTAAGGTTGTTTGCATGGATGAATATTTTGTTTTCTTGGGGATGCAGTTTTTAGACTTCGCACAGTCGATTATACTATCGTAGCGGAATGGATTCTAATCATAAAAGGAGATGTCATGTATGTGGTGGATGCGCGCCAATAAAATGAGCTTAACTGAGGGAAAATAATTTTACACTCACAGCAATCTTCAACATGGAAGATTATCCAATGCATGGAGGAGAAAAGACGACATCTATGAGGAACAAGAAGAAATTGTGTACTTTTGAGAAATGATTTGAATGTGACAGAAGAGTGCCAAACTTCTACATTGAATTTCGAGGATCCGAAGATAGAAACACTTGAAGAGTATATAGTTAAACCAATGACGCACAAGGGAAAGCATGTAGGATCTAGTCCCCTAGCATTTCACTTTTTCAAAGGTTTGCGGAGTCAACCCATGAAAAAAAGACCATACCAGCACATGACTGTGTGCAATAGTCACAGGATTTCAATGCAGCGATTTGAGAGGCCATCACCAACATGTAAAAAAGTTGGAGTTGTGGTTTGTAATAAGCCCGAGCAAGTTGTGGTACATAAGAGATGTACACCGCCAATGGAGTATCCAACACAATGACGAGATCTGTTTGAGAGCAAACTAGCCGAGAAATGCTTTGGATTATGTTTTGAATCAAGAAGATAGCTAATGAGTTCAAGACATCAAGGACAATGCCTATTTCAAGTGAGGGAAAACGTCACGGATCAAACATGTACCCGATAATGACCGAAACAAACCCCCGAAGTGATCAAAAGATAACCAAGAGCCAACATGTGACTCAGGGAGACGGCTAGGGGACGGAAACTAATGGAACCTTCCAGAATATTCCGAGAGTACCTAAATTATCCTTTGACTAAGTCGATGTCTATCTGCTAAACTTAATATATGTTTATCCGTATCTTCGTATAAATAGAGCTTATCTA